CCCCTATTATAAATGTTGCTATGTTGAGCAAGCTTTTTTTAGTATTACGCAACTTACCAATTAATATACTATATTTCATAGTACTCGCAGTACTAGGGCCTGTCATGGTTAGGGTGCTCGACTCATAATCTGGGGGTAGTGGGGTCGAATCACTCCATTGAAAATGTTTGCTTTTTTAACAGTTGGGGGTCTAATAATGGGACGGTCAGTCCCACTTTTCTTTGGTAAAGAATGGTTCAAGGGTTAGTAGTGGGTGATGCTGACTAGTTGGCTTTCCTCTAATCTATCGTTTCTAAATTAGGGACGGCTAGTGAAGATAGCTATAGAGCAGCAAACAAAACAAACTCCCAGAACTAAATTGTGTGTTTCGGTATAATCGCGCAACGCTACTCGAGAGCTATCTGCTTTTAGTTATCCCTAATTTTGAACTGATGGATTGGATGGAACATCTGAACAACAGCACCCATGGTTTAATATCTGGACACGCTAAACCGCTAGACCACGTCCAGTCCTACTCTCAGAAATCAGCTTCGTTAATTTGAACTTTTAAGAGTTCATAATTTCTAAAGATTCTTGTGAGAAACTTTTTCGGTAGTTGTTGGAAAACCAAAACTTTAACTAACATAACTCATACTTTTATCACTGTTTCTAGTCTATTCTTTTTAGAAGATCAAACTGCTAAAAGTTTGAATACTCAAAACAAAAATAGCTTTTTAAAAGTTCGAGAATCATGATAGTTACCAAGCTTTTAATATTCTAATGAATTTCCTCATAGATGATATTTTGATACACTTTCAGGCAGTAACAGGCTAACAATACATCATAAGCGCCAGATAGTTGGAGAACATAACCGTCTACGTGCTTTGGTCGCTAGAGGGCAGGAACGTGGCTTACCAGCTGCCTCTAACATGCGTATGATGGTAAGTATAATAATTAATTAAATAGTTAATAAAGAAGTACTAGTGTAATTTATATACAATGATGAACGTATCTTAAATTACATCTGCGATACATTTAAAGTTTGTTTAATTTTGTAGAATACATTTTTCATCTTATTTTATGGAGAATTCATGAGGAAACGAATTAATCTTGTAAGATTTTCAGTTCAGACCAGAGTGATACTGTAGATAAATTTTCATGCGGATCTAAAGTTAACAATAAAATATTGGGCAACGAATAGTTTAGATCAAGGTGAGAAAAAAAACACTTGTTGTGTAATTTATGCTTTAAATTAGCCTAAAAGACTAAACATGGTTTATGAGGCGTTCAGACTAGTGTAAAAATAACACATAGGATGTTGAAATGCATTGACAAAAATTCAGACTAGTGTAAAAATAACATAGGATATTGAGGTGCATTGACAAAAATTCAGACTACTGTAAAAAGACACGAGGAATATTGTGGTGCATTTGATAATTCAGACCACTGTAAAAAGACACGTTTGGTATTGAAGTGCTCTTATCAGTTCAGACTAGGGTGAAAAGACATATAGGGCTAAAAGTCAAACGAAATACAAATATTTCGATAATATTGTAAGGTAGATAGCTGTCTAAGCATTTTATCATACTAAAATCTGCAACAATTTTATATATACAATGAATCATATATATATATATACATATATGCAAAACAGTTGTATACTGTGGTTCTTCATCACAAGAAAAATAAAATGTCATAATCCGAATGCATCAACGTTAGATGAAATTATTGAAAGTTTCTGAGAAACATTTGTTGTGAAAAACTGTTTAAAATTGATTATTTATCGGTCACACTTTGCTTTCAAAATCTTCAATATCTTTGGTTATGCAATATTTAAATAAATTTCTGTAGATTTCTAGGATCTTTTAATACCAGGAAACCTCGTGGATTTGTTTGTTTGTTTGTAGTTAAGCACAAAGCTACACACAATGGGCTATCTGTGCTTTGCCCACCCGGTTTCTAGTGTTGTAAGTCCGCATACATACCGCTGTGCCACTGGAGGACGGCCTCGTGAAATAAATGAAAGTAAACAATAACTGTTGTAATGACATAAAGAAAATATATTAAAATTGTAACAATTGTATTTTTTCGAGTAGTGTTATATTTTTAGTCTATATAGTCTATATTTATAGTCTATATTTTTCTTATATTTGATTATAGATTAATTATGAAGGTATATTCATAAATCTATATTTTATATTTCGTCGAGTCTTTCTTTAACGATCGTGCCCCCCAGTGGCACAGCGGTATGTCTGCGGACTTACAACGCTAGAAACCGGGTTTCGATACCCGTGGTGGGCAGAGCACAGATAGCCCTTGTGTAGCTTTGTGCATAATTAAAAACAAAAAAACAAAAACAAACTTTAACGATCGTATATGCGACATTAACTTGTAGATAAAATTTGACTTTAGGTATTTTCAGGTTATATTTTGTTCCTTTCTTTTTCCTAATTGTTTTATCTTTTTTTTTTTCACTCAGACTTGGGATGAAGAGCTGGCACAGATTGCTCAGAGATGGGCGGAGCAATGTATCCACAAACATGATCGGAACAGAAACGTGGGTTAGTGAAACTCTATATCTTTGTAGCACGAGGGGGCGTTTAATTTGGAACTATGCATAGATGTTTTGCCCAGTTTATAAACCTGTAGCTGTTGTTACATGTGGTAGTAAAATAAACTTATAGTAGTTATTAAGTGTGGTAATAAAATAAACCTGTATCTGTTGTTACACGTGGTATTCAAATAAACCTGTAGCAGTTGTTACATGTGCTAGTAAAATAAACTTATAGTAGTTATTAAGTGTGGTAATAAAATACCTGTATCGGCTGTTACGTGTGGTAGTCAAGTATACGTGCATCGGTTGTTACACGTGGTATTCAAATAAACTGTAGAAGTTGTTACACGTGGTAGTCAAATACACTGTAAAAATTGTTACAGGTGATAGTCAAATACGCTGAAGCAGTTGTTACATGTGATAGTCAAATACAATGTAGCAGTCGTTACACGTGACTGTCAAATAAACCTGTAACTTAGCGCTGAGCTTGGGTAAACGAAAGCTATGAGATTGCGTTCTTCACATGATACGTTCTACAACAATGTTCTGAAGGTCATTAATTTAAAAATTGGGGTCAGTGACGAAAGAAATTATACTGAGGTAAAACATACTGTATGATGTCTTATCCAGTTCCGGCTTGTAAATATGGTTATCACATACGCCTGTCTCAAACTGGTCAACTGGCTGTTGGCACCTAGCAAATCATTATAACTATATTGCAATAAATATGTACGAATACACATCTCTGATAAAATACCGGATTTTCCTAGGTTCGGATTTGAGAACTTCTATACGAGTGTTGCCATTCCGGAACGTGTTTTGTAATTCTCAGTGGCACTATTAAAGTGTGTTAGAAGCGTTCATATAATTGTATATGCCCCCTCAGTGGTACAGCGGTATGTCTGCGGAGTTACAACGCTAGCATCCGGGTTTCGATACCCGTGGTGGGCACAGCACAGATAGCCCGTTGTGTAGCTTTGTGCTTAATTACAAACAAGCAAACAAAAATATAATTGTATAATTGTTTACAGTTTCACTGTTTAGTCATTAACTGAGTTTAGTTATCACAGCGCATGGATTCTGTTTTTAAAGATTTTTATTAACATAAAATATTGTTTATATTAAATTTTAAACTACTTTTGAAAACCCATAGAGTGTTCCTTACCATTTCAATAAAACGTTTTTCTCGATTCCGCATTTCTCTACGTAATCCCCTGGTGGTAGAAATAAGTTGTCTCAGATCTGCATTGTTTTTCGTGAAGCTATTTACAAAGTGTTAATGGTGATTTATGGTTTTATTTTCTAATTGACGTGGGAAAGAAAAAAAACACTAGGGGTTAGAGATGGGGGCCGAGCATCAGTTCATTAAGCTCGAACTTTGGTGTGAATGCCAATTCAAAACATTAAGGGTGAATTGTAAATTTATGTACCGCATGTTTAAATTAATGAGGCAATGATTATTTTAACAGACCCCCTCACGAGTCAGCGGGAGACATTTTTGTTGAAAAAACAAACTACCCAATCTGGTTTTTCTTAATTTGAATTGAAATTTTTGGACATTTTTATTGGCTAAAAATAAGGCATTTCATGCACTCTTTTAGCGTTGGGGCTGCGAAAAGTGATTTGAAATGGTAAGATGACTGAAATCCGACAGCGCATCACGAGCTTAATGGCTAAGCACAAGAAGCATGGAAATCTCCAAATGACACGCAGAGGTATTCAGGAATCGCTTAGAACCACCTTGGAAATATTGTGCAGCAAGACGAGTACAATATTATGCCCATAGCTGCTTTCAAAGTTCTTGTCTGCTCATCCTACTGCTGACTATCGTGATGCTTCGAATTCCCCTATCGAATTGATTATTGATTAATGTCCCTCTCCCCTTCTACTGGTTCAGCAGTAGGCTGGAGGCTTATAACGATAAAGACCGGGTTTCGATACCAATGGTGGGCACGGTACAGATAGTCCATTGTGTAGCTTGGGCTTAACAACAAACGAACATATTGGTTTTAAGATATTCAAATATTAAAGCTGTCAGCTAATGAAACGGCCATTGCACAAGTATAGCAATAATGTTATTTATCTTACGAAAAACATAAATATAAGAAGACAGCAATAGTTTTATTTTTATCGTAATATGTTTATATAGTTCTATAGAGCATTACTTTTGCTTTCCTGTCACAAAAGGTAGGTTCCGAGTAGGTCAGAACATCGCTTATACAAGAACGTACGGTTACGAAGATGCCTTTGCTGACAATCCAGACTGGCCGACTCAAATCAAATCCTGGTATAGAGAATACTATCGTTTTGGATTCAGAAGGCAGTACATTAGTCCGTTTAAGTTCAAAGGTAGCACCGGTCACTTTACACAAGTAAGATCGACTTTTTATTAATTACGAAAACAAAAAGCTAACATAAATGTACTTTTATGTCGTCTTAAGTTTAATTGTCTTATCAAGCAACGTCAGTGATCTTTATATACACGTCTTTGGCGGGTGAACGAGGACTGTCACGCTATTTGTAGCCCCCGGTGGGTAAATCTGACGGTCTCTAACGCCAAAAAAAATCGGGTTTTGATACCAGTGATGAGCATAACACAGCCTATTGTGTAGCTCTGTGCTTAGCAACAAATAAACAAAATCATTTGTAATTGATCCAGATGGTTTGGTTTGTTATGAATTTCGCGCAAAGCTACACGAGGGTTATGTGCGCTAGTAATCCCTAATTTAGCAGTGTAAGACTAGAGGGAAGGCAGCTAGTCATCACCACCCACCGCCAACTCTTGGGCTACTCTTTTACCAACGAATAGTGGGATTGACCATCACATTATAATGCCCCCACGGCTGAAAGGGCGAGCATGTTTGGTGTGACGGGGATTCGAACCTGCAACACGCAGATTGCGAGTCGAGCGCCCCCTAACCACCTGGCCATGCCGGGCCGTGGGTTCTGTTCTAATTAATGTCAACAAGAGATAATGAATGATAAAAAATAGTAGTTCTTGCATAATATTAATTAATTTACATAAATAAGTACACAGGAAGAGAAAACATAAGTTTTAAAATCTAAAAATGTCTGATTGAAGTAAAATTGGGTGTTATTATGAAGTAATTTTCTGTTATTTAGTTATTATTCTTAACTGTTTAAAAATACACGGTATACGCGCATCAAAATTAATAAAAGACAATGCTTCAGAACATGTATAGTTTATCTGACTTCTAAAGTTGTAATGCTTATAAAAGGTTAATCGCATTTTATAAGAACGATTTGAATATGCTGATGTACTGACATGTGGCCACAAATTGGTACTGTAACACACTTGGCACCTATTTATTTAGTTCAGGGCGAACTCTAGACCATTTGATAGTACAATGGCGCTAGTACAGATTAAGGCGGAAGGAAAAAGTAACAGTCCTTTCAAAGGAAGGATATTCGCATAAATAGATTGTTAGGCGATGATGGGCTAAAAGATAGATCATTTCGAAAATGGAAGTCTTCATATTTCTCCGGTTAAGCGGTGAAATTCCCACAAGAGGGTGTTTATGAAAGTGAAGACTACGGTTACGAAAGAGGGTCCTTCAACCCAAAAAGCTATTGCGATGAAAGGTCTATAGAAGAATTGTTAAGCTTTGTAATATAAAGGTAACCTCACCGTCCTTCGCAGAAAGCTGTTACATTGAATCAAAATGAGATGAAGAAAATAGTTCCAAGGGCAGTTGAGAACCAGAACACCGTTCTTATAAAGTGAACATCGACCTTCAATAGTACAGTTAATCCCCGAAAATGCAAAGCACCCACCAGTGAAGCAACATTGTTTAATTGCTATAACAGAATCGTTCTTTATCAGTGGTAAAATGTTTGATTCAATGCTGCTGCTAAATTCTATGTAATGTTATATAAAGCTTCATAGAAAGTTGAATGAAGTTTTTATAACAGTACAGTATGTGTATAATGAAACATAAAGTAAAATAACATTATGTATAGCATACAACAAAATCGAAGTAGTTATGTTGCATTTCAAGCAACACCTTTTTTTATTACTTTTCTGTTTAACAACAGGTGATCTGGGGAAGTACTTACAAAATTGGCTGTGGATATACTTATTATAGAACGCCATCTCGCGGCTATACCAAGTTGTATGTATGCAACTATGGTCCAGGGTAAGTTTTGGTGCCGGAAATTCCGAAAGAAAATTTAATCATTTAAATCTGTATGTGTGTGTGTGTGTGTATGTTTTTTTTTATGATTTACTAGTTACAAATCTTATTTACGAAATGTAGCGAGATCGTAGAACATTTGTTATTATTTTTTTTTATGTGCGTCTATTTGAGTTGCATCTTTTATCGTTGTAAGGTTTTAAATGCAAAGGTGGCTGTGTGCTTTTGTTAAGAACATATAAATCAGTAGTTCCCAAACTTTTTCCACTGACGACACCCTAATCCACTTACCTTGATTTGCGCGACACCCCCTGCTGCCACACGCAATGTCTTTTTTTTTATAGATTTTTTATGTACTTAATTATCTTTCGTTTGGTGACACTCACGCGACACCCTTAGCAACTTGTCCCGACATGCAGTTTGTCAAATAGTGGTATAAATGAAGAGAAGAGACGCTATGCAACAAAGTAACCTTATACGGGTATGGTTTCTTTATCTAACCTTTGCTATGGTTATGTAATAATACATTACTGAGAATTAGGTGGTGGCCCCCAAATTTAATCCCAAATATATTTTTTAAATATTTCAAGGCTACTAGATATTCATTAATTAATTATTCAAACCTAAAGAGTGTTATCGACTGTTTTACTTAAAACATCAAGGTTATCATTAGGAACTGTTTATAGATATTGCTATTATCACATTTCCATGTTAATTTATCTCGTAACTGTCGAAGCTTGATAAAAGTCTTATCAATAAAACTTCAGCAATCTATCTATATAATATCATCAGCGATTTCACCTTGTGGTTCAACTGTAAGTCTGAAGGCTTATGACGCAAAAAACGGGGTTTCGATACCTATGGTTGCCACAGCACAAGTAGTCCATTGTGGTTATTAACAACAAACCAGACAAATATCCAAGTCATTCACTGAAACAATGCAGTTTATTAGATAGTTATGTCTTAGTACATCTTGTTGTTTTAGTTCAGTTTTATCTATCTGATAGTGCAACGAACACTTAGATATTTTGTTTCTTTTATTTAGAGGAAACACCATTGGAGATACGATGTATGAAGTAACTTCAAAACCGAGTTGTACACGCCTTGGTTTGAGATTTTCTTTTCAGTTTCCTGGTTTGTGTGGTAAGTGGTGAGAAAAGTTTGTTTGTTTTTGAATTGCGCGCAAAGCAACACGAGGGCTATCTGCGCTAGCTGTCCCTTATTTAACAGTGACTAGAGGGAAGGCAGCTAGTCATCACCACCCACCGCCAACTCTTGGACTACTCTTATTCCACTGAATAGGGGGATTGACCGTCACATTATAACGCCCCCACGGCTGAAAGGGGCGCACATGTTTGGTGGGACGGGGATTCGAACCCGCGACCCTCAGATTGCGAGTCGAGCGCCCTAACCACCTGGCCATGCCGGCCCTAGTGAGAAAAGCAAACAGTAAGCAACCTCGTGTGCTAATATAGAAAACAACCGACATAAAATTAAAAGAAAATGATAATTTTCCCGAAATCTCTGTTTATTAAAATATACTGGAATTCATAATTTTAAGTTAACCAAACTTTCACGTGTTAACAAGCAATTGATTACCGAGCACACTGAATCATCATAGTTTGAATTACATACAAAAAAAGTAATTTATTTGTTTCTATGTTCGTCCAAAAGGTTAAAGGAATTCATAATTCTAAGGTAGTTCTGTGTTCACATGCTAACATGCAAAACACATTTACTGCATCGTCACAGTTGAAAGTTTAGCATACATTTGGTATAATTGTCAAACCTTTTTGAGGAATAAACAAAATCGTTTCGTGTACCAACTTTATATTGATTAAGATTTATTCGTATTACTTACAATAATCTTTTATATGAAATCTACACTTTCTAACGATTTCCAGTTGACGTACAACGAGAACGGTTTGATTCTGAAAAAAATTGCTGTGTTATTGCATCATAGAAATCGAGAAACCAGTTAAATCATCACTTTCACGACAACTAGTGAGAAGAAGGTGATGATGTTCTTTGAAACACTGTTTAGGCAGAGTATTGATGATGAGTACATTGGAATGGATGGCAATTGACTGTTGTAAACAAGAGGGAATTCTCAATAGTCGCAGCATTTAAAATTCTTTTAGGCAGGATTAGAGTAAATTAACATAAGATACCTTTCCCCCCCTTTTTATTAGCCATATTTTTATGCGCCAGCAATAGCAAGCGTGGTGTGCACGTATACCCGATTCAGTTTTATTACTCATCAGGATCTCTACCAGTCTATCCTCAAATTGAAATTATTTTAGGCAGGATTAGAGTAAATTAATCTATGAGACCTTGGGCGTGGCCAAATACATCAATTGAAAGGGTTTGACCTCCTGAGTCCAAAACTGCAATTAGATCTCAAATCGGTCAAGAGGTGATGGAGCTATTGTACTCGAAATGGCG